AACAAATGTCTCTCCTTGTTTATAGCCCTTCGAGGGGCTGACCGACCGTCTGCCGCCCTCCTTCCCCCTAGCACTGCCTCGTGGCACGCCGGCACTGTTCTTGTAGAGACATCGAACACTACTTACAACATCGAACATTGAGCAGGCGAAGTGAAGGTCGATTTGGACTGTGCTTGTGTAAAGATCGACTTGAGACCGGAAGAAGACGATGTTCATGAGGAACGAAATGATATCTGATCTTCCCTTGACACTAAAAGGAAAGAATACCTCCTAATACTCTAGCTACGTGTCTAGGTCAAGAAGTCAGCATGATGAACGATAAAGCTCCGGAACTTAGCAGAAGGAAACATGTGGGAGCATTCAAAAATGTTAAGGTAGTGGAGATGGAGGCAAAGAACGTCCGGCTCCGTGCTTATCTTTTCGATACTGCTGTCCCTCCTGGTTTACGTACCCCTCGGAGATTTGAACTCTACGGAAACAGGGCGAGCATACTGTCAGCGTGGCTCAAAGCGCTTTGAATCGATCGGGATTTTACTTATACGAAAGTAGAATGGAATCTGGAGATCTGATTTTCCTCCCTGAAGGGTCTTTACCCAGTTGGATGCGAGGCTACGTGAGGCCACCCTTCAGTGGCGGATAGGATTAAATAGCGGCTAAACAAGCCTAAGTACCTGTTGAGAGACGCGGGGGATAAGATTCCTGTTGCTGCTAAGCTGAATCAATTTACACTTTCTTCCTTCACGCGAACCTACCGAAGAATGCTTTTTGAAAGAGTTTCGGAAGTAGTTGATTTTCTGCATGTCAACTCAGCCAGAAGCTTGCATTCGAGTACCGACATTGGCGGTCTTTTACCGGCCGGAGCTTTAGAAGCGGTGCGAGTTGGTATCCTATAAAAAGGTGCCTAGCCCACTCAATTAAGGCTAACCATTCTGGTGTATACACAGTCTTTTCCGGGTCAAGCTATTCGTGAACTCTCATACGTCCAAGACTCTGATATGGTGGATTTCATTTTCCTGGAAATGAGAGTGAGCCGGTACGCTAGCATTGTATAGGATTGCTTGGAAGAAACGACTCAGTGGCTACACGTGGCTGTCTAAAAAGAGAAGAACTGGGATACTGACAATGGCAATCACTCACGTCTCACATCATTAGTATGTTCTGGAGACTCCATTTTGAGAGCCAGGAAGGCAAGGTGCGACGTCATATGATCAGGAAGGAAAAGCAATAATCTCAACACGCCCTTTTTTTCAAAATGGAAAGACTGCTCTCTGAAGCTAGGGGTGCAGATGTCCTTGTCAGCGTTAGTCTTTCCATCATCGTCGATTCATTTGGCATTTGGAACATACATTTGTGATAGAGATGCGTGATAGAAATCCATAATGATATTAAATTAATTCAACTTCTTCCAAAGCGTTTGCACTACTGTCGGTGTTGATTCGGATTCTTGTTGATTTTCGAAACAATAGTGGCATCAGAGGAAAATTTCGGCGCTTAATTGCGTGAAGGAGTCAAGTTCAGTGAATAATACTTCAAGGCCTCCAACAATTGGATCCCTTGTTTACTTGGCAATTCCGTGGGAAAACACGGTCATCGACAAAATCGATGAAGGATACACGTCACGCGGAGGAGAAATCGGCGAACTGCAGGCAATCGTCAATTATTGTACGAATTTGCGACGCTACTCATTAGTGCGAGAGCGTGCGACAACGGAAAAGCCTATGGAAAAAAGTGATTTGGCGCAAATTGCCAAATTTAGAAGTGTTCCAGCGGTTTCCGCTTAGCTTTGCTAATTAGTAGTTGATCGTCGTCACGACGCACCAGTGACTGCATCTCGAGGAGAGAAAAGGGAGGTCGTAGACCACTCTCACTTTGATATCTACACTGCCAGGTCTGCTTGTGTATCACTTGAGACTCTTCACTCCTTCTTTCTGAAGTTCGACATGCTTTTGAATCAATGAAGAATTGTACAGTACCAGGTGTTGATTGGACCCAATAACAACTTGATTGAAGGGCTTCCCACCGTTTTCGTCAGAACTTCTACGCTCCCGGTTCCGTGCATTCCACAGTTCAACTCAGTTCACCGAGATCAACGGAGTGATGGAATAGAGATCCGAAATAGTTCAATGTTGAAGTTTTCGCTGCATCAAAATTCGAGAGGGCACGTCAGTAGCATCGACACTTGCTATAATCCTACTTATATAATCGGCTAAGTGTGTCTGTTGGTGTACTTGTGTGTGAGTGTCAGTATGTGTGTGTTTGTCTGACCGGAAATTCATAACTCCTGTCCCACTAGACCTAGCGCATTCAAATTCGAAAGTGAGATAGACATCAGGATGGGAACACTGATGGTATGTAATAGGAAGTGAGAACAATCAAAAGAAACTGATAAGAAGCCTTAAAGGGCGGAGGCCACAGGATCCGTAACTCCCTTCGTATCAGAGATGAATCCTTGGCACTTTCGAGGTGATGTAGAATGTGATGGGACCATTAATGGTTGGTGACAGGGAATGATGCCAATTGATAGGGACTGATAAGAAGCCATAGAAGGCGAGAACAGCTAGGTATGTAACACCCTTTCTGTTAATAATGGAACCTTGGAATTTTAATAGGTCATGTAAGATGTGACAGGATCGTAGGTACTCGGTGACCGGATCGAGGGCGGTTGATGCCAGGTCAAGAGCTGATAAAACTGATAAGGGCTATTGAAAATCCTGGAAAGCGTAGAGCCACTATAATAATGGTATTAATGATGGAGCCTTGACAGTTTGGCATGTGATGTGGAGTATGGCGGGATCGTAGACTATCGATGATAGGAACTGATAACAACTGATATCGACTTATAAGAGCACTTGCCAACTGAATTTAACTCCTGTGGTATTGCGATGTATTTATGATTGCGACTATTATATAGATTACGACCGCTACGCAGCAAGGTTTGTAACTCGGTGGAAGATCAAGATTACTTTATGTTTTGATATCATTTACGACAAAGCTCATCCGACCGCCAGTAATTTGGGGCTCTCAACTAATGATGTACCGTGGAGGAAAGAAGGTCAGTGATAACGACATCTGATAATGGTGTTATTATCACTTGATAACTTTTGTGAGTACTACTCAATTCTTTGGTTGCCCACCAGTTAAACCTTTTATGGTTCATAATTTTCAAGATGAAGAGCAACCGATTGACACTTTTAATCGTAGGCGTAAGCATTGGCACACCCTAAATACCACTGGCGCTGCCCTGTATGCCAGCTCCCCTCTTTCTGGGTCCTGTGTCAAAGTTGTGTAGGGTGTGTTCAAAAAATGGGGGAGGGGGGGGGGCGGTTACCGATTACTAAAACTTAAAGAAAGAGGCAAACCCGGCGTTAGCGAAAAGCGGTGAGAAAACAGTAAATGGGAAGTCAACAGATACTGTTTATATTGGTACTCTAACAAGTCGTAGGTAAGTGGTAGTAGGCATGTGGTGCACGCATTGGCGTACGTAGCCCAACTGGTTATGTATAACCAGGAGCATAATTTTCACTGCAAGAGTTCAGGGTGCTATAGCATGGCTAATACATATACTGCAAAATTAACAGGAAACAGAAAATCACATTCTTTAGCTATTAATCGTTTAGATGCCAGCATTTTCCAAAATGGACATATTTGGAACAATCGCCTCGGTGAACATTCTTTAGGCTACTCTAATCGTTTAGATGCCAGCATTTTCCAAAATGGATATGTTAGCATTTTTCCGAAATGAACATATTTGGAACAATCACCAACCTAAAGGGAGAATCAAAAGGAAGTCAACGGGCACGGCTTACAGGAGTTATCGCGATGGAAGAATGTCATGCAGAGGCCTGACTACCATTCCTATCGTATGCTCCAATCCCGATCTCAATAGATTCTGCAGGGCCAAAAAATGCAGAAAGTCGCAGACCCACTTGAGTGATGACACGCAACCCTTCGTCGTTTTCTCTGATCAAAAAAATTTTTACGATAAAACCATCCCTCGACAACCAAAACGTTCGCGTTCCGGAAAGAAACATTCGGCGTGTGATATCTCACAAAAAAGTTGTTATCAGAACAGTAAAATGATGTTTTTCGAGGAAATCACTGGCAAGGGTAAGCCGCTCGTGGTTTCTTCGGTGCAGGCGTGAAAATTGACCAAGACCAGTAGTCAAACGGCGTACTAATGGAAGTAAATAGAACACTGATCCGACTACGTTTTCTGAAACATCTTATAGTCCTTCCAGCAGGACGCTACTCCAGCCCACAGAGCCAAGCTTGCCCGCGAGTGGTGCCGCTGCCCGACTTCATTGGTGAAGAGGAATGATCATCCTATTTTCCAGAACTTGACTCACTCGAATCCCACGAATGATCCCTGATTAGAAGAGGATCTGTCGAGTTTGCAGTTTCAGTTTGGAGTCCTAGAATGCAAAAGCTGGAGGACGGCTGGGAGGAAATGGAGAAGGATATCTGCGTGCCACATGCGATCAAGTCGAAAGCAAACTTTGACTTCTATTCGCGCTCACGGGGGATATTTTGAAATGCGACTTTAGCATTTTGTAGCACATAGTGTTAGCTAGCGTGCATAGAAATTCCATCGTCTTCCGCAGTTGAGAAGTTTCAAATATATTGCTATAAATCGGCGCAAATAATTTCTGGACACCCTGTAAAACCTCATCCGTCATTTAGATGATCATTATTTTTAGAGTGGTGCTGAGGACGCCTCTATTTGAGTATGTCAAAAGCCAGATGGTCGAGTGGATTGCTCTCGTTTCAAGGACACGGGACACAGTATTTCTTTCAATCAGAGTTTTCGTGAAAGTCTTTCCACTGCGCTGGCGGCTTCTCATTTTAGGCGCGTTGAGCCTTAAAACTCATGAGAAAGAGGGAAGCCCGTCGTTGGCCGGGAAACTCGACTGATACTGAAAGATACTCCAAGAACTCGACATACAAAACTTCACTTTTTGAATTTCACATTTTCAGCGAAAAGAAAACGATCACCTTAGAGAATGGAATTTGACAAGGTGAATCATCTTAACTCAACTTTACCCTCTGAAACCGTCCGCTTCCAAAACAGGAAGACATGGGAAGGGGTTGACGGCCGACATTTAGATCACCTACGCTCTACAGCCGTTGTCAGAGCAGGCTCGCAACACAGATGCCGAGCAGGAGGGACGAATGCTGGCTTATCGCCTAGGGAATCCTTGTGATTTTGACGACATACCTAGGTGATGTTGTAAAAATGGTGGAAAAATCAGCTCAGAGCTGAGCGGAACTACAGGGGAGCACGAGAAACATAGAGGAATTAGTGAAAAAGGAAAAGAACATCTGATTGCGCTGCTCACTGCTGTGTTTGG